CGGAGCATTCTATCACCCCAAACAGAAAGCTCCACCCCCTCCGCAGCCCCTGGCCTCATGAGCCCATGTTCTGTCTGTGGACTTGCCTGCTCTGGGCATTTCACAGGAATGGAACGACACACCATGTGGCCGTGTGAACCGGCACCTCACTGAGCTCTGTGTGTTCAGGGTGGTGGTGCGTGTCAGGGCTTTGCTCCTTTTCAGGGCTGTGTGATATTCCAGCACATGGATGGGGCATGTTACATTCATCCATCCGTCAGCGGACACTTGGACCATTTCCACTGTTGGTGGTTGTGAATCACGCTGCTGTGCACACAGGTGCAAAGGCTTAGTTCAAGTCACCTTAGTAAACCTGCAGAAGGGCCAAAGTCCCATTTACAGAGGGAGAAACTGAGGCCCAGAGAGGTTAAGCTGAGAGGCTATACTGCTAAGATTGAGGGAAAATTCATTCAGAATGAGGGGTGAGAATTATGTAAGGTGGTGATGCAAGGAAAGCTCTGATGAATGGCGGCTGTTGGCCCGTCAGAGCACGACTAAGGGGCCAATGCCTGGGACAGATTGGGGGAGGGATCAGCAAACGTACGTTAGAAGTTGCCACTAGGGCACAGACGGGTGAAGTGAAGGGCCCAACAGGAGGTTAGGATGAGGGAGAGGGTTCGAGATGCAAGGTAAATGAGACAGGGCTCAGAATATAGCAGGATGAGACACACCATTGTCAATTGTCCTGAGTTTCAGAAACAACAACCATACCCTAGAGTGAAAATTAAGGCAGGCTTCCTGGAGGAGGTGTCACCACATCCTGAAGGTAGTCAATGGCAGGTGAGGCTGGGGAGCGCATTCCAGACAGGCCGATCGAGGCATGGGGTGGGAAGTCAGGGCCCCAAGCACCCCATGACACCCCTAACCCAAACTGATACCTCTGGCTTGGCCGGGCCCCCCTCCGTGCCATGAAGCTGCCTCTGGTTCCAGCGGAGCCACATCTGGTGCAGTTTCTCCTGACCCTCCACCAGCTTCTGATCAACTCCCTGCTTGACAGTTTCCATCTGGAGGAGGAGACAGAGAGGCTGCCTCCGGTGCTTGACTGAGGCTGGCAGAGCCCCCCCGCATAGCCACCTGCCCCCGCCCATCCCAGGAACCACCCCCTTTGTCTGAAATGAGGGGGTCCATAAAGGGTCTTGTGCTCTCATGCTCTCACACAGCTTCCGTGGCTACGGTGAGACAGACTGTCAATAGGCGTCCACCACCACCAACACACTCGCCCTGTCTGGTGCTTGCAAAGGAAATGCCACAAATTCTCTGCAGCAGATCCCAGTTGGGCTCTTTCTGCTTCCCTTGCAACTGAGCCCGGCCATCGGACTATGAGGGGATGGAACGCATTGCAATGGAATATTATTTAAGCCTTAACAAGGAAGGACATCCTGACACCTGCTACAATGTGGATGGACCTTGGGGACATGGTGCTCAGTGACATAAGCCAGACATAGAAGGACAGACCCTGTCTGACCCCACTCCTGGGAGGTCCCTACAGGAGTCCCATCCACAGACACAGAAAGCAGATGGACGGTGGGGGCCAGGGGCTGGGGAGGGGATGGGAGTTAGTGTTTCATGGGACAGAGCTTCAGTTTGGGAAGCTGGAAAGTTCTGGAGATGGAGGGGAGGGGGATGGCTGCACGTTTGTGACTGTGCCTCATGCAGGCTGAGCTGTGCACTTAAACACAGTTAAGGTGGCCATTCTCCATTATCTACATTTACCTCAATTAAAAATTAAAAAAACAAAAGGGGAAGGAGACAGCAATTAGAGGACACTAAGCAAAGAGGAAAAGCAATAGGAATTTCACTTAAAGAGCACGGGAGAAAAACTAGGGCGGGGAGAGGGGGCTGGCTGCAAAGAGTGGGGGCGGCTTCTCTGACTGATGGTGGTGGTGGTGGTTACACATCTGTTTACACGTGAAAAACTCCTCAAACTGTATGCTTAACAAGGGCGGATTTCTACTGTATATAAATTAGAGCTCAATAAAACTGACTTCAAACAAAATTAAAAAAAAAATAAACGCTTGTGCATCGCAGAGGGCACCCTCTTGCACCAGCAGGGCGAGAGCCTCTGCTGGCCTGCCGTGGGCTCACTTGTGTCTCCCTAAAATTCCTACGTTGAAACCCTAACCCTAGAACCCCAGAAGGTGGCTGGATTGGAGACTGGTTTTTAAAGGGATGATTAAGGTAAAATGAGGCCATCAGGGCAGGTGCCAATCAAACAGGACTAGTGTCTGGGTCAGAGATCAGGACACAGGCTTACACACAGAGGGATAACCATGCGGGGACGCAGGGAAAAGACAGCCACCTACGAGCCATGGAGAGAGGCCTGAAGGGGCACCGGCCCTGCCCACACCCTGACCTTGGGCTCCTGGCCTCCCGGACTGGGGGACAGTAACCAGCTGTTGTTTAAGCCACCCTGCTGGTGGCATTTGGCTATGGCGGCCGGGGCAGCTGCAGCCCAGGACCACCTGGGCCTGAAGTCCAGGTGGAAGCACAGAAGGGTGGGTGGTAAGTGCTGGACTTGGGAGGGCTGGTGGGAGCGACCCGCGGCCCAGGGCCCCCCACGGCTGGAGCCTCACCAGGCTGAGCGCCTGCGACAGCTGCAGCAGGGCGTCCTGGGCCCGCTGCCCGGAGTGCCGCAGCTTGCCCAGCGAGTGCTCGTAGGCCTGCTGGCGCAGCCGCTCCGAGAGCGAGCCCAGGCGCACGAAGTAGCTCTGCTCCTGCCGCTGCTGCTGCACCGAGGCGATGTCGAAGCCCTCCAGGGACGTGGCGAGGCGGGCTGTGGGGGGAAGGCAGGAGAAGCGTGGTCAGAAGGCAGAGCGCACGGGCCCCGGGCTTGCAAGTGCCGCCGGAGTTTATGCCTTGGGTCTGCCACTTGCAAGGGGTGAGGCCTTGGAGTGAAGGATTTCCCTGCCTTGGTTTTCCCCATCTGCAGAGTAGGTTCAGTAGGAAGCAGACTTCCGGGGATTGAGATGCCCTTAGACTCGGCACGAGGGTCTGCGAACTGTGGCTCTGAGGCCACATGCGCCCCTGCCTCTGGTTCTGCGAGACAACACCCACCTTCGCTGTCTACTGTCTTTGGTTGCTTTCAAACTACAACGGTGGGTTATGTAGCCTCACAGCCCACAGAGACCAAAATATTCACTATCCGGTTCCTTACAGAAAACAGCTGGCTGATCCTGTATGAGCATCTGGCACATATTAATAGTGGGACCTCATGCACATGCTCGTTCAGTCTTAACAATTCTTTGAGGGAGGCACTGTCATGACGTCTTTACAGACCAGGAAACTGGGGCTCAGAAAGGTTAAGTGGCTTGCCCATGGTCACACAGCTAGGCAGCGGCAAGTCAGAATTTGGCGCCAGGTCACCTGACCCCATGTTCTTCACCATGGCACTTGACAGGAGGAGAAGTCGGAGGCACACAAGAACTGTCTTAACAGCAGTTACAGAAGAGTCAGGACTATTCAATCCAGAAAGTACCCATGAAGTTATAAGACAAAAGAGTGTAAACTGCCTGTCCTGGTAACTTTATCCTATTTTATCTTGCTCCTTTTAAACTTTAGCATAGTGATTCTAAGTTTGAGCTTTATAAATAACCTGATTTGGGTTCAAATCTAGACCTTCTGACTCACTGGCCTCCTAATGCCCTGTGGCAGGCATCTGCAAACCATGGCCCCTAGGCCAAATGCTATCTGCATTTATAAATACAATTGTATTGGCACACATGGTCACACCCATTCATTTACTTTGGCCTATAGGGCTAAGGGCAGAATTGAGTAGTTGCAAATGAAACTGTATGGTCCCCAAAAGCCAAAACTATTTACTATCTGGGTGCTTAAGGAAGTGGTTGCAGCCTCCTGGTCTATGCTGAAGTGACTTTCCAAGTAACCACATTTCCCCTTCTACACAACCCTGGGAGTCAGAGCTGGCAAGTGTCAAATTTGGATTACCTTTTTAAAAGGATCTGGGAAAGTTGACTTAAAGAAGATTGATCGGTACAAGTACAATTCGTGACCCAGATAATGTGAGATGGGCCCCGGGCACCCTGGGACAGCCAGGCTGCCTGGGTTGCGGAAGTGAGATCTCTGTCTCAGTCGTGTATTTGCGCATCTCCTTGCAGCCGGGCGTATTCCAAAGATGAAAGGCAGTGGAAAATAATTTAACCATATCCCACTTGCTACCATCAACATGTGGCTCAATCGAGGTGATTGAGTTGTTTTTCTGATTAGGGGTATTTTGTTGTTTGCATAAACATCTCAAAATTCTGGAAGAATATAACTCTAACATAGGGGTAAGCAAACTTTTTCTGTATGGGGCCAGACAGTCAATATTTTTGGCTTTGCAGGCTATATGGTCACTCACTCGACTCTGCCCACTGTCATGCAAAAGCAGCCAGAGACCCGATGTAAATGAACGGGCATGGTTGTGTCCCAATAAAACTTTTTTTACAAAAGCAGGGCGTGGGCCAGATGTGGCCCCAAGGTGGTCTGAGTCAGTTGGGGAAGGGGATGCCACGGAAGAATCGTTACATGATGGCATTTAAAAACATTGAGCCAAACAACCAAACATACAGGACACTTGGAGCCAGTGAAAATAAAGACTTTCATTTTGAGAAAAACAGATCTTCCCCATTCTACCCCCAAAGGAGGGTTTGCAAAGACTGACCCCCAAGTTGGCCATTGGCCCTGCTTTCCTCTACAAACTGCACCTGGGGAACTCAAAACCGCAGCAGAGGCCGTCCTCTGAGGGCGTTCTCCAAGAGTGAACGCAGTGATACTTACAATAGCGACCCTGGGCGGCCCCAAACAGCAGAGATGGAGACATGGAGACCAGCTGTTTGCCCATTAGGGGACCAATGGTTCCATTTGCATGAAATCCCAGAACAGGAAGAGCGGTGGTTCTCACTTGGGTGAACTGAGCTCTGCAGGGGACCCCGGGTGATGTCTGGGGACATTTCTAGTTATCACAACAGGGGGTGCTCCTGGCATTGCCTGGGTGGGGCCCAGGGATGCTGCCCAGTGTCCTACAGGGCCTGGAGAGCCCCCACCCCAAGAATGATCCAGCCCCAGTCTCCGCAGTACGAATGCTGGGGAGCCCTGATCTAGCCTGTCTTCAGCTTCTGTCTCCTCGTTCGAACGGATCAGCTCTGGCAAAGCTGGTTGGGGCTGACTGGCTGCTGCCCCCTCTGGACGGAGCACCGTGTCCAGTCCGCAGGCAGCCCCTGGGCCCTTGCTGCCGAGGGCACTGTGGTCTACAGGGCCTGCATACGAAAGACCTTGCTGTGCAAAGGATACCTCTAGAACACGGGGCTGAGACCCACTGCGAGAGCTGTGGGCATGGGGGCTGAGCATAGTCCACAGGTAGGACCGGCTGCTTAGTCTCGGCAGTTCCATCCCTCGTTTGTCTATTTGGTTGTTTTCATTCCTGCCCCACGGTGACCCACACAGTCCCTTCCGGCCTGGTCCCTGGTTCTCACTCCTGCTCCAGTTTACCCGCCTGGCAACAGCCAGAGGACCCCTGTGAACATGGGTCAGGTTCCCTGCCTCCTTCAGAGGCTTCCACCCGCCTCAGGTCAGAGTCCAAGCCCTCCCCACCCTCCCCAGGCCCAGCATGCCCTGCCCCCTCCCCTCTCCACCCTCTCCCCCTCGCTCATTCTGCCAGCCACACAGGCCTCCTGGCTGTTCCTCCCGCGTGCCAGGCCTAGACCTGCTCCAGGGCCTTCGTTTTCTAAGCTTCTCTTTGTCCTGATGTCGGCACAGCTCCCAGGCCCCACTACCGGAACCTCCTCAGAAATGCCTACCCAAACCTCCCTGACTTTTCCTCTTTCCCTGATTCCTGTGTACTTTGGACTGAGCTCCATGAGGGCAGAATTCTGTTCACTGAGGGATCCCTAGGTCTTTAAAAGCTGCCTGACACTCAGCAGGTGCTCAAGGAAATTTTGAATGAAAATAAATGCAGTGGTGGTGGTGGTGGTGGTGGGAGGGGGCCACTGGGGACGACAGAGAACTCTGAGTGTGAGTACCCGCCGAGTGCCAGGCCCCTTTCTAGACATGGGGACACAGCAGTGGCCAAGAGAGAAGGTTCCACTTTGTAGAATTGATGATAAAGGGGCGGACGAGGGTTTCAGGACACAAATGGATGAGGGAGGTGGCATTTGAGCAGAGCCGGAGGTAGAAGGGAGGGAGCCATCGGTTGTCTAGGGGGAGAATATTTTTAGTAGTGGGAAGAGCCAGTGCAAAGGACCTGGGGTAGGAGGAACATGGTCAAGGATCAGCAAGGAGGCTGGTGTAGCTGGAGTGAATGAATGAAGGTGGGAAAGTACAAGAGGGAGTTGTGGGAGGACTTGGGCTTTGACCCTGAGGGAAGTGGACCCTGGAGAGGGCTCTGGACAGAGAAGGGGGGAATGATGCAGGTGCTTGTGGGCCCCCACTGGTGGCCGCTGAGGGGAGGACAGACTCTGGGGACGAGGGTGGAGGCACTGTGCTGGTCTAGGCGGGCACTAATGAGGCTACAGTAGATTCAAGGGGAGGTGGCATGCTCAGGATGGCCGTGAGTGACAGGCCGACGCCAGGGGGCTGAGAGGGGTGGGTGGTCGGAGGAGGAGGGCCCTGGGCCCACGGGCAGCACTCACCCAGCTCGGCATCCGTCATGGGCAGGTGGTTGTCCATCCACTCCTCTGACTTGCCCAGCATCGTGTCTACCCCGCTCAGCACCATCTGGCCCACGCGGGAGCCCATGACCGAGTGGATGCCACTGGTCACTATGGACTTAGTCATGTCCACGCCACTCTGCACAGCACCCCGGGTCGCATCAACCACCTCCGTCACCTGGGTGGCCACCGTGTCCTTGGCACTGCCCACCGTGTTGGTCACAGCTTCTCGGGCCCCTGACACCTTGGATGAGATGAGCTCCTTGGTGTCCGTCAGGACCTGCAAGACAGGCTGACATCAGCACCTCTTGGGTGGAAGCCCTGCACCAGTACCCGAACCCGAACCTCTGGGGGAGGCTGAACGGAGGGGTTCCAGCTATGGGGTCAGCAAGTTTTTCCAGAAAAGAGCTGGATAGTAAATAGTTTAGTTTTACAGTCCACATGGCCTCTGTCCTAACTACTTAACTATGCTGTTGTGGAGTGAGAAAGCTGCCATAAATGATGTGTCAATAACTGGGTGTGCCAATAAAACTTTATTTACATAAACAGGCAGAGGGCCAGATGTGCCAACCCCCGGAATAGCTTTACATCGACTCCTTGGAGAAGCCGCTCTAGGACACAGTGGGCATTCTTTCATCAGTGCCTGCTGTTCTTGAAGTCTTTAACAGATCTCCACAACTCTGGGAAGTTCAAAATCACACCTGTTCTGGTGTCTACCCTTCGAAGTTGGTGCCCATGTGAAGACCTGGCCCTCTCATGCTCATTGGAATTGGTCTCTTTTTGGGGAGAGGGAGCAGTCCTTGGGTTTGAACACCAGCACTAAGCTAACTTGGCTCACAGCGGGGCTGTCACCGAGCTCACACTGGCCCAGGTTCAAATCCCTGCTCTGACAACACTGCCATCCTGCAGAACCGGGAAAGGCGACCTCTTCCCAGGTTGGGGGCAGGGTACGTCACAGGGCCCAGAATGACAGAGCACCGTGCGGCTCAGGGCTCATGGCAGTCACTCTGTTGGATGACCTTGTAGAATTTCACCCGAGGCTCGCCTCTTCTATAAACAGAAGGAATGCTGGCCTCACATGGCACCAGCAGGAGAAGCACCTGGCACAAAGGGGTGGGTCCCGGGTGACAGCTCCCCATCCCTCCATGGATTTGGTACTTTTCTCCATTAAGGGCCTTTGCCAGCAAGACATGAGTTCACGTTCAGTTCCATTGCTTCCTAGTGGAGCCCTTTTATGCAGAAACAGGGACACGACAGAGCAGTTCCCGCTGATGAACGAGCTGCCTGTGAAGCGCGAGGTCTCAGCGGAAAGCCCGAGAACTGGAATTGTGATGGGTGTGTCCCTCCAGGAAGCCCCTATTTCTGGAGGGAGAAACCCAAACACAAATAGATACCTAGGGTGGCCCTTGTGTCCCACTAAGCAGAAGTAGAGATGAAGCACCAACTATGTCCCAGGCTGTATGGTGGGCAGCAGAGAGCAACAAAGCAGACAGTCTGTGCCCTCCCTCCAGCTGGGGAGGGAGACAAAACAGCGGTTAAAAAACACTTCAGAGCATAGAACTTAAAAGGTTGAAACGACTCATACACATGCGTACACAGCAGAATGACTCACAATCACCACAAGGTAGAAACGTGACGGGATAAACACAACGTGGGCTGCCCACACTCTGGAATATTACACAGCCATGAACAGGAGCAGAGCCCCGACGCACGCTACAAGGTGGATGGATCCTGAACACACGGTGCTCAGGGAGAGATGCCAGCCACAGAAGGCCACACAGTGTGTGACCCCCGTTTCTGTGAAATGTCCATGACAGGCAGATCCGCAGAGACAGAAAGTAGATTCGTGGTTGCCAGAGGGTGGGGTGTTTGGCAGGAAAGAGAATAATAGCTAAGGGATGTGGGGTTTCTTTCTGGGGTGAAGAAACGTTCTAAACAGACAGTGATGTTACTCACTTTGAGTATATGAAAACCACCGAACTGTGAAGCTGATGTCGTGTGTTAGAATTATGCCGCCTGATGTGGGAGCCACTGGCCACAGGTAGCTATTTAAATTTAAAATAATTATTTATGTATTTGACTTTTAAATGAAAATTTACTTCAAAGAAAATGGCTTAAGAGTAGCTATTTAAAACACTTAACGTGAGTGAGCTCCTCAGTCACACTAGTACCGGATAGCGACAAGGACCTTCCTCAAGAGGCACAGGGGACCGCTGAAGAGGCAAGATCAGCAAAGAGACCCAAAAGCCTGACGTGAAGGACCTGCACATGCAAAGGTCCTGGGGTAGGGCTGACATGGGCGTGCTCACTACCTCCTTCGGGGGGACTTTCCCTTCCTCCCCAGGATGAGAATTCCGTGAGGGCAAAGACTCTGTTTCCATCACTGTGTCCAGGACATACGGCCACTGATGTTAACTGAACACCGAGCTTTTGCCCTGGGCCAGGTGGGAGGCAGAGGGAGATTTGAACAGGTCTGCCTGGTGTTTAGAACAATCCTCCAGCTGTCCAGTGGAAAGAAGATTTGGGGAAGGGTGGGGACAGACAGAAGAGGGGTCAGGGGGCCTGTCACACTTGCCTAGTCTAGTTAAGGTGGACCACAATCCCACAGACCCGTCTCGGCGGAGCCCCGCCTTCCGCCCCGGAGGCCAGGGACCCCTGGTGGCGGAGGTCAGGTACCTTCCCCGGCTGCTGCTGCAGGACGGGCAGGTTCTCCTCCAGCTTATCCAGCCCCCTGTGGGCATATTCGCCGGCCGATGTGACTGCAAGTGGCGAGGACAGAAATCTGATGGTTACTGCACAGGAATGTCACCAGGGGCCCGCAAAGGTTGGCAGGTGCTAGTTTGGGGGAACAGGGTGAAAGGTGGGGCAGACCCCCTAAAGAGCCAGGCGGGGAGGCTCCCTGCTCTCCAGGGCTTCACTCACTTTGGGGCTCCAGCTTGGAGAGGATCGGCTGCGCCCCGCTGACGGCAGCCGCTGTGAGGGTCTTGACGCCTTTCTCGGCTGCATCGCACACGGTCTTGACATGGGGGTGGCTCTCCTTGGTGGAGGTATAGGCAGCCGACACCATGCTGCAGGTGGAGCTGATGAGGGGCATGTTGGCCACACGGTCCACCACGCTGGGCTACAGGGGGGAACAGACGGGCTCAGACGGGCTGGGCCTGAAACTCGGGGTGCCATGCAGTTTCGCTCTCATTCTGGGCCAGGAAAAACGGCTCAGCTTCCCCCTGCTTTGCATCCACGTGGTTGCACAAGCAAGGAACTTTGGGGTTTCGCTATGTGCTTCCTTTATCTGAGCTGGTGGCTCAAATGTTTGAATGGGCACTTGATACCCAAGGAGGGCCAGGCAGTGACAGCAGACAAGAACCTTGCTCGCCCAGAGCTCAGGGTCTACAACTGGGGTCGGCACACTCCGAGCCACCTGAGTTTTTCCATTCGTGTCTGGTTTATTCCTAGCAGCTCTATGGAGTTCACACAACATACATTTCATCGTCTTGAAAGTGCACAAATCCAGAGGTTTTTAGTGTATATTCGCAAGGTTGTGCAACCATTAGCACGACCCCATTCCAAACTTTCTCATCACTCCAAAAAGAAAGCCTGAGCCCATTAACGGTCACTGACGATTCTTCCCTCCCTCTGGCCCCTGCCTGGCAACCATTAATCTGCTGTCTGTCTGTCTGGACTATGCCTGTTCTGGGCACTCACAGAAATGGGATCGCACAGTGTGTGGTTTTTGAGGCCTGGCTTCTCTCTCTGAGTAATGTTTTCAAGGTTCATCCATGTAGTGTCATGGATGAGCACTTCGTTTGTTTAGAAACTGCAGTAAAATATATATTACAAAATTGACCATTTTAACCATTTGTAAGTGCACAGCTCGGTTGCGTTAAGCATTCATGTGGTGCAGCTGTGCCCAGCCTGCATCTTCCCAAACTGAAGCTCTGTCCCCATGAAACACTGATCAAACTCCCATCTCCTCCCCTAGCCCCAGCACCCACTTTCTGTCTCTGTGGATGGAGCGCCTCTAGGGACCTCCTAGGAGTGGGATCAGACAGGATCTGCCCTTCTGTGTCGGGCCTATTTCATTGAGCATGATGTCCCCAAGGCCCGTTCACACTGTAACAAACGTCCATTATGGTGGAATAATATGCTGTTGCTCCTGGTTTTGTAAGTAATGTTTTACTGGCCCATGGATATACCCATTCACTTACATATTGAATGTGGCTGCTTTCACCCTATAAGAACAGAACCAAATAGTTTGGACAGCTTTCCTGAGCCCTTCTGTGCCTCCATTTCCCAATCCATAAAACGGGAAGGATTTGCAAAGATCACTTGTATCAAAGATGCTTGCATAAGACTTATTTCTGAAAGGTGCTGTTTGAAGAGCTTGTGTTCTAACTTGCTTAACTGCCAGTCCTGGGAGAAGGGGAGTGTTGTTCCAATTTTACAGAAGGGTAAACTGAGGCACAGAAAGGCTAAGTCAGTCCCCCAGGGTCACAAAGCCAGCCAGCAACAAAGCGGGGCTTGGACTTAGGCAGTCTGCCTCCAGGGTTTAGCCACGTGGTCTTTTCAGACATTAGTGACAAATTGACCATACAATCCAGCAATTCCGCTCCTAGGAATCTACCCTAGATAGGAAAACACACGCCCACCCGAGACTTGTGCATACGTATGTTCACAGCAGCCTCGTTCATAACGGCCCAGAAGTGGAAGCAACCCAGACGCCCATCAGCTGGTGAGCGGATGAAGAAAATGTGGGGCAAAGCATGTTTTGAAAAATATGTAGCCTCCACATGGCCCACAGGTACAAGAAAAAAGGCCCAATTATCATGAATCATTCGGGATATGCAAGTCAAAATTGCAAGATACCACCCACAGCCCACACCTAGGATGGCTACTAGCAAAAAAATAAAATAAAATAAAATAAAATAAAAAATTAACAAGTGGCTGTGAAGACGTGGAGAAACGGGTGCCCTCGGGCACTGTTGGTGGGGGATGGGAAACAGTGCAGCTGCTGAGGAAACAGTCTGGTGGTTCCTCAAAAAAAATTAAAAATAGAAATACCATATGACCCACCAATTCTAGTTCTGGGCGTAGAGACAAAAGAATTGAAGACAGAATCTTGAAGAGATGTTTGCACACCCATGTTCAAAGCAGCTTTATTCACAGCAGCTGAAATGTGGGAACAACCCTAGTGTCCATTGGCGGAGGAACAGATAAACAAAATGTGGTCCATCTCCACACTGGAATATTACTCAGCCTTGAAAAAGGACGGTCTGACACCTGCTACAGCATGGACGCACCTTGAGGACATTGTGCTCAGTGAAGTAAGCCAGACTCAGATGGGAAGGTCCTGTCTGATCTCACTTACGAAGTACTAATGTAGAAGGTTCTACTTTTTTTCCTTTTTATTGAAGTATCGTGGATATACAATCTTTGTTTTTTAATTGATACAGTCTTATTTTAGTTTCAAGAATACACCACAGTGGTTCACCAGTTACCCGTATTATTAAATCCTCGTCCCCACTAGGGGATGTGAACATAGGAAGATGTTACAGAATCACTGGCTATATTCTCCAAGTTGTACTACTATCCCCATGACCACTTTATACTATGATTGAGAATTTCTGTGCCCTTTTATCCCTCTCCCCATCCCCATTAACTCACCTCAGCCCCTCCCCCATAGGAAGTTCTACTTTTATAAAATGATTTTATGATTCTGCTTACAGGAAATGTCCAGAATAGGTAAATCCATGGACAGAAAACAGATTAGTGGTTGCCAGGGGCCAGGGGGAAAAGGGGTGAGGAGTGATATTGATGGGGAATGGGTTTCTGTTTGAGATGAAAAAATTCTGGAATTAGAGATGATGGTTACATACTGTGAATGCACTTAATGCCATGAACTGTATACTCTGGAATGATTAAAACAGTGTATTTTAGAGCTATATCCATTTTACTAGTGTTTTTAAAAAGGGGTGAGGTATGACATGTGCTACATGACACTCCGTGAGAGAGGCTGGACACAAAAGGGGCTCACGGTGTATGTTTCCATTTGTATGAAACGCCCCAAATAGGCAAATCCATGAGGAAGGGAACTAGATAGGTGGCGGCCGAGGCCGTCGGGGGAATGCGGGCTGCCTGCGAATGGTGTGGGGTCTCCTTCGGCTAGATGAAAAATATTCTAGAACTGATGGTGGTCATGATGCACGACTTACAGTAATTTCCTAAAAATTATTAAGGAGCACCCTTCATAAGGGTGCATGTTATGGTATTTCCATGATACCTTAATGCAGTTGTTTATTAAAAGGGACCTTCATTTGAACTGGGCTAGAGGGGGGAATGGGGCTGATGCCGTAGGAAGGAAGGAGGACCATAGGAGAAACTCCAGACAGGGCAGGCGTGGTGGAGGCAGGCAGGTAGTTTCAAACAGAGCTGGACCCCCATTCCCCTCCAAGGCTTTGGGACCCCCAGTCCTCCTGCGCCCACCCTTCAGGGGTTTGTACCACGGCTCTCACGCACCCCGAAAGGCATCTCTTGACCGCCATCTGCGGCCAGCAGCTCCCTGCCTCATTCTATGGGGTGGGAAGCCTCATCTCACAGAGCCCAGACTCCCCTCACCTGCTGTACTGGTTCTTCCGCTGTTGTCACCTGGGTGTCGGCAGTGGCTTCTGCCTCGTTGTCAGACATTTCTCGGCAGCAGGCACTGTGGACAGACAGACCAGTCAGGGCACAACCGCCCCTGGCCCTACATGCAGGGAGAAGCCGGCATTCCCACTGGCATTCCCACTGCCCTCCGAGCAGCCGCCCCAGTTCTCAGAGCCATGCCTGCCCATCAGGACCGTGCGCCTGCAGACGTGCTCAAACACATGCTGACTCAGCAGGCTGGGAGGGCCAAGAGTCCAGTTCCTAAGCAGATCCCGTGCTGCTGACGCAGCCGACCCCGGCGCCCCTACAAGGACTCACCTTTATCAACGCTCTGAGGAGACACCTGCGGGGCAAAGCCTCTGTGGGCGGCAGTTGGCCAATTGTACCAGGTTTCGAGAGCCATCTTCCCTTTGACCCAGAAACCTCACTGAGGGGACAGTCCCACACCCATGCTGCCATGCGAGCAGAGGCGTGTGTCCTGTGTTGGCCACAACCTGACACTGGACACAACCTGATTCCCCAGCAGAAGGGGACTAGAGAAAATAAGAGCACAGCCCAGGGAAGTGGCTAAAGAGAAGAGACTTACACATAGTTGGCAGGGACTAAGATACTGGTAAGAGACAATGGGTATGGAGAGTTGGAAAGGTTTTGCTTCATTTGCACAGAATCTTTACAGACACACAGGACACTATTAACAGTGGCCGCCTTTCAGGGAGGATGATTAGGTAGCTGGGCAGGCCTCTGACTTTTGAGCCAGGTTGGTAGTATTACCTGTTCCTAAAAAAGTTATGCTTAAAATAAAAGAGAGAGAGACCACGCCTCCACTGCAGACCAGCAGACCAGCTGAGCCAGACTCAGGGATGTGGGGAGCGCAAGGGAGGCTCCCCAGGTGAGTCTAATGCACACATCTGCAGGTGTGATGGGACCACAGGTGTGCTCCAGTTTCCTGGCTAGGTGAGACAAGATGGGTAAAGAAAGCATCGTCAAACGGGAGTGCATGAGTAATGCTATGCTGGGCAAGGAGCTTCCTCTGTGCAAGCCTCAGCCCCCTTGCCAGTGAAATGGGGCTAATGGCAGTGCCTGCCTTCAAGGCTGGCTCCCCATGTAATTCTGGGAGGAGCCTGTCCTTGACTTTGAGGTTTCCCTCCTCCCCCATTGGAAGGGGGCCCAGGCTCCCGCGTGCGCAGTTTCACCTGCTACCAGCAGAACTCAGCAAACTGGTGTTCTGAGAGCAGCAGGCTTGCACTCCAAACCGGGCTGCCACCCACTAGCCGTGGGAGTTTGGGAAAGCAGCACCTCATCTCAGAGCCTCACTTGCCACATCTGTGAAATGGGCATGTCCCTTCCCAATTGGGAGTCCTTTCAGATTAGAGGAGCACCTGGCACCCAGTAGGTAATAAAGTGAACCATTCCACACCACTCTGGCCGCTGTGTACAAATGGGTGAAGCCTGCGTATTACAGAAGTTCCCCTCGACCGGAAATGGAGCAAGGCCTGCCTCTGGTGATCATCTCCTGGGAGCTGGTACCCGGCTCACCTTCTCTGCAGCCTGAGTTCACCAGGGCAGCCTGGGGACCCTTTCTCCCATCTTTGTCCATCAATCCCTCCTGGAACCGGTTTAACCAAGGGTGGCCATTGCAGATGTCAGCGCCCATAGAAGTCCTTGGGTTCGGAATCCTACTTGCAGCTGGCCCCTGGTGCCAGGGCAAGAGCTAACTGGCACTGGCTGGAGTCAATCGGCCGGGCAGCTGCAGCCAGGATACTCTAAGACCCAACTTCTAAATTCCCTGAGACCCAGGCCCTAGACTAGGCCCGTCATCTCCGTCCTGACAAAGGTCCCAAGGACTCAAAGTTAAGGGTCAGGCCTTCCCACCGCCGCCTGGGACAACCCACCGGCCACACCCACCCAAGGGGACTGGGCGGGGTTTGTCCGCGACCTCCCGAGGGTCAGCAGGAGGCCCAGAAACGGGTGCAAGGGAGAGGCCAAGCCCCCAGGCGTCGAGGGGAGGGGGCTTTGCTAGGCAGGACTGCCCCTTGTTGAGGTCGGGAGTGCTCTAAGGACCAGGGGAAGGCGGAATTCCTGTGCAGGACGGCTTGCAAGCAAGCAAACTTTTTTAAATTTGGAGAGGTTGTGGTTTGGGACGGGGGATTTAACTCCTTCCCCCCCTTGATACTGCCCCTTTTAGGGGGCCCCATGAAAAGTCTCAGGAATTTAGAGGAGGGAGTTCGAAAGTTTGAGCCTGGTTCAGAAGTTACAATTTTGGGGGATAGAAAGGGAGGTGCTCAGCCCAGGCTGAAGACCCCTCCCCAGGCCGCAGAGAACAGCGGACCTCCCCCCCGGAAGGCCCTCCCCGCCCCTTCCTCCCTTGGGGCGCGCCAGGACTTGGCGGCCCAGCCCCACATTCATCAGGGGCCCCCCCTCACCTCTCACCACGGTCAGCGGGACGTACCGGCCACAGCGACCACTACTTCCAAGCCAGCTCGTTAACTGTCCGGGGCCTGCCAGGGGCGGGCCTTTACGGTGGGGGGCGGGAACCAGGGAGTGACGGGCTGGGTGACCAATCAGGTAGGGGCACGCCCACCGCCGGGCCACGCCCGTCGCCCGGCCCGGGACGTTGGGGCCACAGGTAAAGTCTGGAAAGCGCGAACCTGGGGCGCCTGCGCACGCCTTCCACGCTGCGCCCCCGGCCGAGAGACCCCAGTAGGACGCCTGATCGAGCCAAGGGCAGAGGCACCCTCCTCATCCAGGAACCCCGTGAACTCGGCCCTGGGAGGTGAGTACGATCCGGGTTCTGGGTTCCCACGAACCCTTCTTTTCCGGTGGCCAAACCGAGGCTGTGAGGACTCAGAGATCATTGCCTGATACCCTCAGCGCGTCAGGGGCCACGCCCCACACTATGGGCTCGCGAGTTCTGGAGCCAAAATGGGCCCAGAGGTATGAACAGCTTTAAGCACAGCAGTGAACAGGTATCGAGCACCTTCTGCTCGCCCTGACCCACGTCGCACCTCTTAGTCCTCCATACACTGTGTGTGCCCTTATCACCCCCATTTTACAGATGAGAATACTGAGGCCCAGAGCCGGTCAGCCAGGGGCAGGGCAGGAACAAACTCCTGAATCTCTGACTCCTGGGTCAACCCCTTCCTGAAGCAGTACCCACCTGGATTTCCACCCGCGCCCTCTAATAGATCCTTTAGGCTCTTGGTCTATAAACCTACAGTCCCAAACTCAGAGGGCCCCCAGGGGCCAGGCAGGAGATAAATGCCTCTGCTAAAAGGTCGGCAGCATGCCTTGCCCAGAGTGGGCGGAGCATTGTCTTATGGAAAACCCACCCACAGATGCCCAGATTCCCAGGGATTCTAGACTATACAAGTGTGCTGCCTCTTAGAAACCTGTTGGACCAAGTAAAACCCAAATGGGGCTATATCCATCTCCAGAGCCACCAGCTTTCCACCTCTTCTAAATTATATGGGTTGGGGTGGGGCTTCTGGGACTAAGAGCATTTTTTGGACAGGTTTTACACTAGCACTGTGCAGCAGAACTTTCTGAGATACTGGCAGTGCTGTAGAATTAGTACCACCCAATGTGGTGACCTCTAGTGCCATATGGCTGTGGCATACCAGGAGCTGAATATGCAGTTAGGTAACCACATGCCGCCAATCAGATTCTCTAGTGAGTTCTGAGACCCCGAAACGACTAAGGCAGTGAACTGTAACAGATAAAAATTTCACATTTGCCGCAGACCTTTTTTCCTACTTATTCATTAATAATTTTTATTGAGCTGCTGAAGCTGGGTGCTGGGGACACAGCAGAGTGGGAAACATCCCAGCCTGTGGCACTCAGGTGCCCAGTGGGAGAGATGGACAATGAACCAGCTAAGTGAGTGAAGTGCCCTGAGTCAGGTGGTTGCAAGTGCTGATGAGAAAAGCAAAAGTCCAGGATTGAGAATTTGGGCGTGTGGCTTTAAATAGGGTGGTCAGAGGATCTCTATCAGGGTGCCTTTGGAGTGCAGAAGTGAGGGAGGTGAGGAGGCCATGTAGAAATCTGGAGACGGAAAGTGCACATGCAAAGGCCCTGAGGCAGACCATGTCTGGTGAGTTGCAGATGCATCTAGGAAGCTGATGTGGCTGGAATGGAGTGATGGAAGGAGAGGGCTGGAGGAGAAGGTGTTTGGAATGTGTAGAGCTCAGAGAGATGAAGTGACTTGTCTGTAGCCACACAGCCTGAAAGTCACTACGGGATAATGAGTTAGTGACCTTCAGCTGCTGGGACATGGCCAGAGGGGATGTAACCCAATTCTTATTTGCAAAATAAAGTTCTGTTGAGTTTGTCCCACATCTTCTGAACAAAAGGAGAATGGTCTACTCCTCTGCTGTGGGGATTAACTCCCAGCCCCAGTCCCCTGTGTGTGCAGTCCAGGGCATGTGCCACTGTACGTGTGTGCATATGTAGGCAGGGGAGGCGAAGGAAAGGGCCGCTAAAGGGCTGCTACACTATCACCAGCACCACCACCATGACCTCCTCCAGGAAGCCTTCCTGCCTCCCTCCCCAGGATCCCAAGGCTAAGGTTGCCAGGTAAGATACAGAACGCTCAGTTCAATTTAAATTTCAGGTCAACAGTGAATATATTTTGGGGGTATAAGTATATTCCTTGAAATATTTGGGATATACTTACACTCAAAAATTATTCACTGTTGTTCTGACATTCAAATCGATCTGGGCATCCTTTTTATTGTGTTGTTTTTGTATTTGCTAATCTGACAAACCCCCAAACCCACGTTCCTTTCTCTGCCCCCGCCATGTTCTCCAAGCATCTCCAATCACCTCCCAGCTTTGGGTGCAGGGGTGCTGGAAGGTAACAGCTGTCTAGGAGCCCCAAGGTGGGAGGTGAGAAATAGCTGTTGTTTCCTGAGCTATTTCATCGCATTATCCGGAGGCTTCATTTTGATTTTCCCCACTTTCTGGATGAGGAAGCTGAGGATCAGAGAGATGATGCCACTTGTGCCAGGGCCCACGGCCAGAAACTGGGCAGGCCAGGCGCAGAGTCAGTTCCAGACTTGTCTGTCTGCAAGGTTTTGTTTCTGAGATCCCAGTGGGCTCCTCCCCCTCCCCCTAACCTCCCTTCCTCCGCCTCCCCCTCCCCATCTCCCCCCTCTCCTTCCTCCCTCTTACCTACCCTCCCCCTCCTCCTCCACTGCACCCCCTTCCAGTAGAAGGCCTCTGAAAACTCCCCAGTTCTTTCCACTGAGTCTAATGGGGAGAGAAAGAGAAGGGGAGATGGGGAGAGGGAGAGAGAGAGAGAGTGTGTGACCAGCATTGTGCCACAAGGTGGCGCTGCTGGTCCCAGATTGGTCTCTGCCTGGTCGGGTGTCCCCTGCCCACGTATCCCCTCCATCTGCCCTCTGACCCTTCCCTCCGTCCATCAGTCCATCCAACCATCTGTTTACTGAGCATCTTCTATTACGTGTGAGCTGTTCTGGGTCCCTCCGTCTGTGAAAAAAACATTGCAAGTGATCTTTCGACAACTGCATTGGTGTTATATTCATGTTTTTCCTGATTTTAAGAGAAATGAACATGAAACCATTTCCGTGGGCTCCTAATAGCGTCCTGGGCCCTGAGTTTCTTGCGTCTGATTTTTGGACGAGGTGCCTCTGGTGGCCAAGTGGATAAAATGGTGATCAGGGCTGTGATGGGGTTGGAGTCCATAAATGTGCAGGAACCCAGGTGGGGGGGTCCTGGAAAGCTTCCAGGAGGAGGTGGTGCCTAGGCTGAGGCCTGAGAGAGGAATAGGGTCAGGCAGGGATGGCTCCATTCAGGGCTCTGGGGAAGGAGAGGTGGAGCCCTCTAGAGGGAGAGAAAGGAGTGGGGTCGGGGAGGGGGCAGGCGGGGGCTGATGGCTCATGACCAGGTCTGCAGCGGGTGGGAGCAGAAGGGAGAGAGACTTCAGCAGGAGAGTGGACAGGCCGTGGTTCAGAAGGTGAGGCTGACTCCGGCCTCTGCTGGGGACCTGCAGGTGGAGGGACACTGGGGACATCCCTGAGGCTGAGCCTAGCAGAGGAGCAAGTCTGAGGGACATTGGTGAGCTCGGTTTTGCCCCTTCTAGCTCCCCTGGCCTCGGGTTGCAAGTTTATCAAATAAAAATATCAGACACCCAGTTAAATGTGAATACAGACACACAATGAATGCTTTTTAGCATAAGTATATCCCAAATATTGCAAGGGACATATTGATGCTAAGAAATTACTCATTTACTTGCCTGTCTGGTATTTTTTTCTGGCAGCCCTATCCTGCCATGACAGGCCTGCCCTCGTCTTCCCCACGTTGCGGTTCCAGTGGGTGGACAGTCTGCCCAACTGTGGCTGCGTGGCCAGAAAGCAAGGTTTTGTCTTCTCGGGCAGCTCGCCGCAGGAAGCTGGGGTCTTTTAACATGCAGGCCCTGGCCTGTCCCCGCCCCTCCGTCCTCATGGCGCCAACTGTCCGCTGTGCCCCTGCGCGGTAATGGGCTTGGGGGAGGGGAGCTGCTCTGAGACCCACTGTCCCCTGGGCCAGTCGCTCCCAGGCCAGGCGGGTCCCACTGGGCACCCCCAGCCCCAAAATGCCAGTCCAGGGGTTTGAGCAGCAGGGAGCCACCACGTGGCCTTTGTCCCCAGCACGCCTGCTGGCCTGTCCAGTTCGGAGCAGGCCATCTGTGGCCCCCTGGCCTTGCTGTGAAGTCCTGCAGGCAGAGCAGCCAGACCGCCTTGTCCGAATGTACCGGAAGGACAGAGGCCTAGTAGCAGCTGACCAGGAACTGGATCCCTGGGGCCACAGCCGCTCCTGACTGCCTCCACACTGAGTGGCCTTGTCTGGGGTGGCCAGGCCCGGTGGCTCATAGCACAGCTCTCCAAGTGGCAGCTGCCAGGATGTGCCAGTCATGTTGGCGGGGAAGGAACACGCCGTTCTTGGCTCTCCTGGCGGTCCCTTTGTTCCCAGGAGGAAGTGGGGGGCTGTTGTCCTGACAACTAGCCCCTTCCCCCTCAAACAGCCCCTTGAGGTGAAGATCAGAGGCACCTCGGGGCTGGGGGTTCTGGCCAGAGAGGATCCCCTGTCACCTAGGGTGGCAAAGGAGGCCCCTCCCCCAGCCAGCCTGCTCTGAGCTCATGTGTCCAGACCATGGTGGGGGGGGGGCAGTCAGCCCCTTGGGATCGGAATGCTGGAGGTGGCAGCATGGCAGCAGTCGCGGAGAGGACATTCCCAGCGGGGCAGGCGCCATGGTGGCAGCTGCCGGCCCCCCGCCTGTCCTGCGTCCCTGAGCTGGAGGCTGCAGCTGGTGTGGGCGGCTTTGGTTCCCAGAGCGTGTTATTTTTGGGGTGGGGGCAACAGAACATGAGAGGCGTCTCCCCCAGGGCAGGAAGTGGGGAGGCCCCAGCTGCGTTCTCCGGTTGGCCCACCTGGCCCAGTGGGCCCCGCCAGCCACCACACAGGAAGCGTTCCCAACGTGCCCGCCTGTGTGGTCCCCTGAATCTGGGGGCCCGGAGGGGAGGCAGGCAGTGGGGAGGGTGCAGGGGCCCGCTGTTGTGAGTCAGAATTTTCCAGAAGACCCCAGCTGGGGTACCTGTGGAGTGAGCCTTACTTTGGCTGATGCAGTTTATAGGTGCCGGTTTGTTTCATCCAGCGTCTTCAGGAGGTAGGCTTATTCATAAATCCGAGTTTTACAAGGTGGGAAACCGAGGCTTCCAGAAATGGAAGTGACTGGCCCAAGGTCACACAGCAGACCTGGGAATCTCATTAGCATTTTACTATCAGATATAAACCAAGGCTTCCAGAAATGGAAGTGACTGGCCCAAGGTCACACAGCAGACCTGGGAATCTCATTAGCATTTTACTATCAGATATACTAGCTCCTCCTTGGCCTCCAACCCTGTAATGTGGACAGGGGTTACCACCTTGGGTGATTCTGCCCTCAGAGGACACTTGAGCTGTCTGGGGACATTTTCAGTTGTCCTGACTGACCCAGGGGTGCTCCTGGCATCCAGCGGGTGGGGACCAAGGATGTTGCTCAGCCCCCCACAGTGCCCAAGATAGCACCACCCAACCCAGCCCTAAAGGTAGAGTTGTGTCAAGGTGAATAATAGTTAGTATTTAATAACAACTATTATTATTATTATTCAATACAGTAATATTATGTTTAATATAATTACTGAAAAAATTTTACAGGCAGGAAAACTGAGGTCCAGAGAGCCTGTATTTTGGATTCCTGGCATTTCCCACGTACCTGTTACTCTTGGCTGCTTCCGAGGTACCCATTAGTCTTGGCGATGCCACAATTCCCTTTTAAGTTTTGCAGTAAAGGAAAAACTGAGGCCCAGATTGGAGATAGAAATGAAGACTTAAACTCATAATCCCAGTGCAGGCTCAGACCATCCCATGTCCCCAGCCCAGCCACTCACTGACACTGAGGGACCCTGGCTGGCAATGTCCCCCGCCTAAGCTCCCCATCTCTGTGATGGGGCCCTTCCTTCTTGGCTGCATCCGTCTCTGCAGGTCTGAGAGAGGCGCTATAACGCAGTGGGGAATCCCAACGTGGCTGTGAGAACCTGGGCAAATCATGCCCTGGGCCTCAGTGCCTCATCTGTAAAACTCGAGTGTCCATCGATGGATGAATGGGTAAACTAAGTGTGTCCACCTATTCAATGGAATATTACTCAGCCTTGAAAAGGAAGGAAATCCTGACACCTGTTGCAAAGTGGATGGGCCTTCAGGATTTATGCTCAGTGGAATAGGCCAGACACAAAAGGACAGATCCTGCCTGAGTCCACTCATAGGTCCCTAGAGGAGTCACATCCATAGAGACAGAAAGTGGATGGTGACAGTTTCAGTTTGGGAAGATGAAAAAGTTCTGGAGCTGGATGGTAGGTGGTTGCACAATATGTGAATGTGCTTAATGCTGCCGCCCTGTGCTCTTAGAAATGGTTAAAATGGTGACTTCCATGCTATGTATATTTTACCACAATAAAAAAGATGCATGGGGCAGCAGGGAAATTTGAGCGTGGAGTATATAAATGAGATAATAGTATTGCATCTGTGTAAAACCCCTCAGAGTGTTAATAGTACTTTGGTGATCTGGGAGAATCCTTAGGGTAGGGGGAAATAGGAAGCATAGGTGTGATGCACTAAGATGCTATGACTCGCGTCTCAGTAATTTGGGAGTGAGAGAAAAAGGGAGACTGCAGACCGACCAACGTCAATGCTTGGAGAAGCCGTTGGAAGATCAGTGGCTGTTGAGTCACACTTTAAATTTTTTTCTGTAGGATTGGAATTTTTCCAAGTAAAGTCTAAGGAAATAAAGACAGGGATGGTGAGGAGACCGTCATGGTGACATGGAGGTGACTGGGACCTTACTGGTGAGCTGGCGGAGTGCACGTGGTTGGGGCTAGATGGAGGAAGGGATGGAGTTGGGGAGCCTCGTGGAGAGTGACAGGTGTAGCTGGAAGGCTTCCTGGAGGCGGCAGCATCAACTTTGCAGCTGTGAAGTACATAGTGTTTCTGGATCTAGTTCTAGGAATGTGGGGATGGCCTCTGGAGACTTGTGGATGCTCACGTTAGTGCTGAGGACATCAGGGCAGGCGAGATCATCACCACACACCCTCCCCATCTAAAAAAGAAAAAAAGCGCCTTCTTGTGAGTTTCTGGGAAGCAAGGGAGCCATAGGTTGCTGCCTGGGATTGGATCCTTTTGTTCACTGCAAATGGAAGATCACCTACTCAAAGCCAGCAGGGGCACATCCCCACCCTGGCCCAGCAGCAACCGGCTTTAGGGAGTCAGAACCTCCACTCGACAAGTTCTTATGGAGACCCCCTAAAGATGTGGTTAAAAGTGAGGGGGTCGCTCCCATTAAAAAAAAAATGAGAAATGAAATAATTAATCTTGTGCATTCTTATCTGCCCTGCCTCCCCCCAAAAAAGTTTGATCTGGAACAAATGTCTCAATTGGTGCTACTCTGCCTCTTTTTCCGGACACTTCCGGAACCTTCCAGGATGCCATGGGCAAGATTCAAGTGCATATGCCTCCCATGTGCCCGCTAATGGAGGGCCCAAAGCAGGGGTGAGGCAGGCGCAGGTATTTTGAGGCCTTCGGGTGACTGGAGAAATATTTCAGAGTCATTCATTATTCCAAGAAGACTTGCCCTAAGCCCCTGCCTACATCCCTGCCACAGGCACAGGGACCCAGTGGAGCTTCTGAGTTGAGGATCAAGGTGGCCTGGTTTATGCTGAGGGTCTTCCAGTTGCTCAGGGAATGGGACCACCAGGTAAGATCCAGGAAGCCTGGTTACATCAGATGAATGATGGGCGAATTTTTACAAAGCATAAGTATATCCCAAGTATGGCGTGGGATGTACTTACGCTTAGAGAATCGTTGTTCTCCTGGAATTCAGCTTTTGCTGGGCGTCCTTGATTTGTATTTGCAGGGAGGACGGAATGTAGGGCACAAGGACAGGAGCTGGGAGACCCAGGTGCCGGCGACTGTGCCAGTCCAGGTGGCCGGTGATGGTGGACGGGGCCACAGTGGGGGCAGAGGAGGGAGAAGAATGGAGGATCTGGGGCAGATTTGGGGGAAGGAGCTCCTGTGTACCCTGAGTGAGGTGGGGGGCCCAGGAGGCTGTGATGGAGGAGCAGTGCACCCCAACTAGGGTAAGAGCCCTGGGACTCAGCGACTACGTGCCCCATGAATGCTCCAGGCTGGGTTTCTCCCCTTGGCATGACTGCCGTTTGGGACTAGATTATTCTTAATTGTAGGGGCGGGGGGCTGTCCTGGTCACTGTATGGTGTTGAGCAGCATCTCTGGCTTTCACCCCCTCTGTGCCAGGAGCACCCCCTGGCCCCTTCGGGGGCGACAACCAGTATAACCAGATTTTTCCAGTGTGCCTGGAGGACAGATTTGGCCCTGGTTGAGGACCCCTGGTCCGGGCCCTGGAAGACCCCCGTAAGTGAGGAGGTGGGCCTGGACCTCTAACTGGGGCGGGATCTGTTCCCTTGGGCCCTGCCTGGCATTCAGCAAGCAATTGTGGGATGGAAGAAGTGGTTGCCTAAACGGCCGTGGTTGGGGACATTCAGGCAGTGCGCTGTCCACCCCCAGGCTCATGGGAAGGCCCTCGTGCAAGACAAAGGAAGGGCTTCCGGTAGAGTCTGAAAAAGCTTCCAATATTTAGACGTTTGGGCATTTAATTCTGGTGACCCTGGCTCCCAGATAACACTGCCCCCTGCAGCAACGGGCAGGTGTCTGTGTCCCTGGGCGTGCACGTGATGGTGATGGGAAGCCTGGCCTTCACGCTGGCCAGGGAGCAGGGCAGGTGGATGGTGCCCACCAGCTCGTATCTGGTGCTCATGAGCTCACTGTCCCGCGAGTCGCTGCTCACAGGGAGCACGTGCGGCAGGCTGAAGGTGTTCGTGATCTTGGTGGTGTTGAAGGGCGCAATTTGGGTGTTGGCCTCCTGCCGGACCACCTCGCTGCTGTCCAGCCGCGACCGCTGCTTGCCCTTGGGCATGAAGCCCTTGTACTGCACGTGAGCGTAGAGGGTGAAGATGACCGTCCTGATGCACTTGCTGGTCTGGTTGCTGATATCCGTGGTGAAAGCGACGCTCTCCCCCGGCGTGAAGGTGTTCTTTTCCATCTGGATCCGGAGGCAGATGGCGCCCTGCCTACAGCAGCTGTAGCAGACCTTCTCAGCCTCCACGGACACGGGATTCTAGAAGGGGATGGGGGTTGGGGGGGCAGTGGACAGCCATGAGGGATCGTGGCCACAGGATCCTTGTGCCCCCCTGACACTCCGTCATTATAGCCCCTCCAAGCCTCGAGCTTCTTGGGATTCTCCTGCTAAGAATTACTGAGATGGAATCTGGAGCCTTAGGGACTTGAAAACCTGGAGTCATTTCCCAGCTTCCTTTAAGCAAAGCGCTTTGCCATTCTGAGTATCCAGTTCCCTATCTGTTAAATAAGCCTAAGAAATCCAGCAGACCCTGGCTTCATCCCCACCTCTGTTCCTCACACTCACTGGCTGTGTGACCTTGAGCAAGTGGCTTGACTTCTCTGGGCCTTGGTTTTCTGGAGGGCCGGGAACGTCTTACCGTCTACGTCTGACTAGGGTTCACCCAAGTAGTTCGGATTTTAGGAGAAAATATTCTGGGCTCTGATTGTGAAAGAAAACTGGAGAGATGAACTTACGTAGTGTGTTTAAACAAATGCCTCAAAAATGCAGAATTTCTATCAACTTATCAGCTGCCAGATTGTGAATAAAGTCACGTACACATGACATTTAATGAGCGGCTTGGGTAACATTTTACTTCTCATTTGTGGATGATATTTTAAAAGACTCGATGTGATGCGGGGTGGGCTTAGAGCGATTTGTTCCCTGCTTCACTGCCTTTCAGTATCTTCTTCCGAAGGGACTCAGTGTGTTTATAAGCACGTGTGTGTTTCCTTTGATCATGCCAAAAAAGAGCAAGAGAGTAAGAGAGGATAGTGTAAAAAAAAATACTTCCAAGCTGCCCTCCAACTCCCCATTCATGACATCAAGTTGGTAGCTTGAAATTGACTGCGTTGGGGTCTTTTCACCAGGGAAATGGGCAAATATTAGCAATGAGGGGCAGCCTGCCACAGAGCTGACCGGGTGTTGACCATTTCCTAGCACGCTCCTGCCACTTCCCCCCCCTGCTTTATCGGCACTTAGGGCCTCTGATGTGCTGCACATCTCTGCCCATTTTAGAAATAAAACATCAGAGTTGCACAACCATGTGAATGTACTGAACTGTACACTTAAAAAATGGGGAAGATGGTCAGTGTTATATGTGAAGATGGTCAGTTTTATTTATTTATTTTTTTTATTATTATTATTTTGAAGATGGTCAGTTTTATACGTAAATTTTGCCGCACCTTAAAAAAATCAAGACAGGTCTAGTTAAAGCTCCCATGGTCCCCTCTTCCAGTGCCATTCCCTCTCTCCTCACCGTTTATCCTGAATTTGGGGTTTATCGTGTCTGTGGATGTTTTAAAAAACTCCTGCACCTTATCAGGAAATACAACTCAGACACCAAAAACTCCACAAAGCGAACATGTAACTTTAAACAAATACTACCAGGTCAACTGTCTTGTAATCTCCATCCAAGTCAAGAAGTCGAAATTTGCCAGTTTTCCCCCAGAGTTCCTCACATGTGGGCTGTCCCCCACTCTGCCCCCAAAACGCAACTACCCTGAATATTCTAGTGATCATTTTCTTGTACCCTGCACATTTATTCTCTCGCAACAACTGGATATATTGTTTTAGGAAAAAGTAGTTGAAGCGTAATATAATAAGCCTGAATGCATCTTCCCACCAGTTTAAGGAATAAAACATCACCAGTTTGACTGGTGTGATTTGCCTTATTGCTCGTCCTCCTCCTCTGTCCAGATGGCCATCATCTGAATTGGGCATTTGTCATTCTCGGTCAGTTTTTATATTATTTAGGAATATATCTATTTGCGTATAGTGTTGCACCTGTTTTCATACTTCAAGTAAACCAAGCTGCATATATTTTCTAGCAACTTCCTTTCGTATTTGGACGTTCTGTGATGGCAACTGAGTGTGTTGCAAAGTAATTTATTTACCTACTGTCCACGCCCACCCCATGATGGACATTTACATTGTTTCCCTGTGTTCGATATCATAAAAATGCCAGAAGGAGCAGCCTGAAGATTTTTTTTCCCAGCTGCCACAAAGAGTTGCTTTAGAGGATGAGTTAGTGAACTTTTTCTGTAAAGGAACTGATGATAAATATTTTAGCTTTTGCAGACCGTATTTGTTGTACATTATTCCCTTTTGTTTTAAAGCTACAACTCACTGTTAAAAAAATTGATTTTAATATTGTGGCGAACAACACAAATGTATATTTACATGTAGATCTGTGAAAAAGAAGTAAGTTTCATGAAGTTATACTTATCCTTACTACATGCCTGCTGATATCGGCTATTCTATTGTATTCATTTAAAAAATGTTGTGGCCTTCTGCATTTCTTTTTCTGTTAGTTCTAGTCTATTATTTTGTTTCACAGAAAACAGAAATTTTGTAAAAATCAGTTGGTTGTAAAATTAATTTTTCTGGTCAATCCTATCCAATACTATTCTCTTCTGTCCTATGCATGGATTTTATAAAAACAAAGTTTGTCGCAACCCAACAAAGTTATATTTTCTGGCAAATCCTGTTCTGTTCTTTCATTTTAAAAAAGTTGATTGCAACCCACCAAACACTTTTTTCTGATATTTTCCATTCAATTTGTCTTATTCTCTGTTCTGGTCTCTTAGTTTATTAAAAAAAATTAAAAAACACTGTTTGCAACCCACAAACAAGATTTTTTTCTGATATTTTCTATTTTTGTCTTGCCTGTTCTTTTATTTTATAAAAATATACTTGCAACCTGCTAAACTGATTTTTGCACCCCACTAACTGGTCATGACCCAGGTTTGAAAACCCTGCTCCAGGTCCCTGGCTTACCTCCTGGAGACCTCAGCTGACCCTTGACCCCTTCTAACCTCACCTCCTGCTCTCCGCCTCTCCCAGACCTTCTCAGGCTTCCCCTCAAGGAAGGCTAATTGCAGGCAGTTTCATTCTAAATCCTCCCAGTCTTATTCGAAAATTCGTGGCATGCGTTAGGATCCTGCAGGTGTTAAGGAACCGGCTTCCCTAACTCAAGACCAAGGCAGCAGTTCTGTCTTGATCCTGAAGGAGGTGCCCAGAGGCACCAGCAGTGACCCAGCAGAGACCTCCAGGCCAGGCCAGGCGGGGTGGCCAAAGGGCCCTGGTTCCCAATAATGTTGGGACATGAACTCAACATGGGATTTCCTGAATCTGGGGTTTTTTGGGACTCCATAGTCTTTTGGCAGATATGAAACTTAGAGGGGACTCATTCATCCAACCAGTATTTATTTGCATCAACTTGGTGTCAAGTTCAAGGAAAACCCACAGCAGCAAAGGCCAGCCCAGTCCCTGTTCTGGTGGGGAAGGCAGACCTATCAATGGCAGATGTGGAAACGAACCAGGTTATTTCCGATAGGGACAGCGATGAGGCTGCAGCGTGATGCAAAAGTGGTGGATGACAGAAGAGGAGCTGATGGTTAGTTAATGTCTCCAGGACAAGCTCATGTCCCAAACAGTACTGACCATTGCGAGAGGCAATGGGTCACTTTCAAAACTCTGAAGGTACAAAGCGTGGCAGGGATGGGGAGACACCAGAGCCCTGGTGCGTGGCTGGCGGGAATGGAAAAGGGGTCAGCAGCTGCAGAAAACAGTCTTGCAACTCCTCAAATAAAAAACCATGGAGTGGCCGTCTGACCCAGCAGTCCCAGGCCAGGTATCTACACAAGAGAAACGAAAAGATACGTCTGCCTAAAAAACTTGTAGCGCATGTGCATAGTATCATGATCCTCATAGCCAAGAAGTGGAAACAACCCCAGTGGCCATCCAGAGATGAACAGATACACACAAATGTGGACCGTCCATGCAACAGAGTATTACCCAGCCATAAAAAGGAAGGAAGCGCGGTTGCTACAGAGCATATGATTCCACTTCCATAAACAGGCAAATCCTTAGAGACGGGGCGTAAATTAGTGGTTGCCAGGGGCGTGGGAGGGGGACATGGGAAAGCTTTCTGGGGATGAACCGCTAAAGGCAGGGAAGATTTCCTTTTGGGGGATTAAAAATGTTCTAAAATTGACTGGTGATGGTTGCACAGCTCTGTGAATACACTGAAAACCAGTGAATGGTACACTTTAAATGGGTGTAGAAGGCATGTGAATTCTATCTCAATAAAGCTGTTTAAACAAAAAAAGTGGAAGGGGTAAGTGTTGCACCTCCTGTCTCCCCTGCTCCCCTCCTGGCAGGCAGTGTCTGCTGCTAATTTCTCTGGTTTGTTACACCTGCAAGGAAGTACATTTCTTGTTTTTACCACCAAAGCTAGACATGCTGTTTTGAACCTCACTTTAATTTAAATATCTATTCACTCAACCTAGTAATTTAGAGATCCTGACCCAGAGAGCTGCCTCATTCTGTCTCTGTCTCCCTTTCTTTCTCTCCTTCATATTATCTGAATATTCCTTGGTGTACTGCTTCGTTAATCCCTTAACGGTAAACATTTATGCTGACTCCAATTTTTGGTCACTATAGTGTTGTCAGAGGTCACGTCACACATGTGAAAAAATGTCAAATTTCTAGAAGGTAAATGGCTGGGGTAAAATGTGCATCCAAATTTCGATAGATATAGCTAGATTGCCCTCCATGGGGGTTGAGGCAGTTAATTCAGCTGTCAGCACCGCAGGCATGTCAATACATGGCTTCTGAACAATATCTGAAGGTCAAGAAGGATAGGAAGGTCACTGTGTGGAGTTCTCGGCAGAAGCCACAGCCTGTGCAAAGGTCCTGTGGCAGGACACGGCTTGGCATGTTAGAGGAACAGTGAGGAGGCCCATGTGGCTGGAGCAGAGTGAGCGAGGTAGGGAGAGGGAGGAGAGGAGGACAGGGAGGGGATGGGGCAGGTCATGCAGGTCCTTGTGGGCTGAGGGGAGGACTTGGGCTTTGACCCTGAGGAAGGTGGGAACCCTGAACAGCTGTGGACAGGTTATCATCTGATTCTTGGCTGCTGTGGGGAAGACAGACCATGGCATGGCGGGGTGTGTGTGTGTGTGTGTCAAGACTCTAACTCTACTTTGTTGGGTCCCTCATCGCTTACCTGGACCACAGCAGTGACCTCTGCCCTGGTCCCCCAACTCCTGCCCCCTCATGGTCTCTGCTCCCCAACACCTGCCTTGAGCCTCCTGCACTTCAGATTAGCTCTGAAGGGAGGGCCAGAGAAGGGACAGAGCCTGCTCAAGGTCACACAGGGGGCAGGGGGCCAAGCAGGCCTTGAGCTCAGGTCTGCTCATTGCTGGGAGCCATGCTACTCAAGCTGTGTAGCAAAGCTCAGGCTGGAGGAAGACCCCCACAAAGCAGGGGCCTTCGCAGCTGGCTCCCCCTACCACCCACCTTGATTTTGTTATTCTCCATTATACTATTGGCTTTGTTTTTACTTGCATTGTTGCCAAGGACTAAGCTAACCTTTGCTAAGCAGCACGGAAAGGGGGAGAACATAAATTTCCCAGAAGCTTTTCAGGACAGTGGTCCTGGAGAATAGAACATGCAGGGGCCAGATGGCAATCTTGGCATAGAATACCAAAACCTGCAGGTAGCTAGTCAAACACTGACCACTCCATCTCCACCTAAGTGGGCATGCCCTCCTTTTTTGTAATGCTAGTGAAATTAGTGATGAAGTGTTTTATAGGAAAATTAGAGAAATAGAGTTATGGGGGAATACTGAATGGAATAACCCTATCTGACACTTAATCCATCTTCTCATGTTTTCCTCTATTTGCTACTTCTATAGTTTTCCTAATTACAGCCCTTTACTAGAATTCATGCCTCATACGTGAAACTACCAAGTACCATAATTCTTCCAAGTGGTAAAAATACCTCAAGACAAGTGCTGGGCATAAATCTGCAAAGAAGTGAAAAGCTAATATTTTCAAAGAATATTGCTTCTCTCTCACTTACCAGCTTTACATCTCCCTGTATGGCCCTGGAAGATGGCTGGTTAGCCAGAGACGGGTAAGATTCCTCAAGGGAGGAACAACCTAAGACAGGCACAGTCGCAGGGGGGCCATCAGGTGAGAAAATGGGGGCCAACAGAGGTGAGGCTTAGAACCTCACCCCCCCTGTGTTGAGAGAAATTGTCTGCACCTGTGGATGTTTTGTTGCCCTTGTCCAGCTTGGATTAATACCTAGTCTATGGGCACAGACCTGATCATATACACTTGCCCTCTTACAGCACTAAATCATGCTTTCTATTTTTATCTTGCATCTTACCTATGATAGAATAAATATTATGAGGAGATAAAATGTACCCATTGCATTAGAAATATAGATGATGATACCTGCCTAGCTAACTATAGCAGTGAGTGACCCGTATTTCACCCTGAGCTGATAGACTCCATAGTCACTGCTACATGCTGCACATTTCTGTGGTCACATGCATTACTTAGAAACCGCTTTGCATAAAAACGTGACACACAGAAGAAATCCAGATGGCCAACAGGCACATGAAAAGATGCTCCACATCGCTAATCATCAGAGAAATGCTAATTAAAACCACAATGAGATATCACCTCACACCAGTAAGGATCGCCATCATCGAAAAGACAGACAACAACAAATGTTGGCGAGGGTGTGGACAAAGGGGAACCCTCCTGCACTGCTGGTGGGAATGTAAACTAGTTCAACCATTGTGGAAAGCAGTATGTAGGTTCCTCAAAATGCTCAAAATAGAAATACCATTTGACCCAGGAATTCCACTTCTAGGAATTTAACCTAAGAATGCAGCACTCCAGTTTGAAAAAGACAGATGCACCCCTATGTTTATCGCTGCACTATTTACAATAGCCAAGA